ACAAACAGTAGTCAGCCATTCCCGAAGCTTTTTCAACATCAATTTTGTAGGGCCATTTTTATATACATCAGGAATTTTGTTATACACCTCAACACACATGCAGTAACAATTTTTCTTAATAAGTGAAGTTCTTGGGCAAAAGGAAAGAGCTAGCCTATCTGAAGACCTTGTGTTTCTGGGGTACACTTCAGCCGCGGTTTGGAACAGTTCTGGATGTTGTCTTACAAACTTAAAGATTTCTAATATATACATTCCAGGTACAGTAAGTATGCCCAGTTTGATGAATAATGGCTTACACGGTTCATATGGCCCTTTACAGCATAAAGCTCGCACACATTTTTTCTGAGCTATAAATACCCTCTGTATATCTGTGCTGTTACCCCAGATTATAAGCCCGTAATTTATAATGGAGGCTACATAGCCGTAATAAGCACTTAATGATACACTCAGTGAAGTGATTCCTGTTAGTCTTCGAAGGACGTAAACAAATCTGTTTATTCTTTTACATAAATTATCCACGTGGCATGTAAAGTTTAAAGCACCTTTTTTGTATATAGGTTTAACTATAGAACGCTTCAGTATATCAGGAAACTGTCCTGTTTCAAAGGAAAGGTTTATTAGATAGGTTAGTATAGGGGTTATTTCGTATTTACAGTATTGTAGGATTTTTGTGGAGATTTCATCATATCCACATGCATTGGATTTTTTTAACGATTGAATAATTCTAGAGGTTTCTTCATTACTTAAGGGTTCTAAAAACATCGAATTGGTGATTGGATTAATGTCAAGTTGTATTTTTTTTCTAATTTCCTTGTCATAGTTATATTTGTTGTTACATAAGCCTATATAGTAGTCATTGAATAGTTCAGCTATTTTTGGTGTACTTGTTATTGTAATGCCGTTATTATTTATTTTAGGTATACCATGTCTTATTGGGTGGGCTTCTGTTTCACTTTTTATAATTTTCCATGAGGCTTTACATTTGTTTTGGCTACCAATTAAAATTTTGTCATTCAAGTTTTTCTGTGCCTTGTATATGCATTTTTTTAGTATTTTGGAATATCTTAAGTACAATTGCTTGTCAGTTTTGTCAGCATTTCTATTATAAGATGCAAAGCGTAGCAATCGTTTCCTCTTGGTAGATATCCTGAGGCCTTTAGTTATCCACTTTTGCTTAAGAGGTCTGTTGCTTTGCTTCAGTTTTACTTTCGGAAAGCATAAATTATAAAGTAAGCACAAAATTTCGTGAAAATTATCGAATGCTTTATTTGTATCCTCCTCTTGGTATACGTTAAGAAATGAAAGTGATCTTAAATAGTTACGAAATTTTATTTGATTTTCGATACTAAGATCCCTTTTAAAAATCTTCTATCGAATAAAGATGGGCTTGCGATTTGTGATATTTCTAGGACCTATTTTACTCGTATATCTCAATTTTGGTACTATTGGTGCGTTACATTTGTTATTGAGAAAACTTTTCGAGAGGATTGATATTTTTTTTGCCGAAACGTATTTATTAGAAATCTGTGAAAGTAGGTACATTATTACAAAATTTGTGGTCACACGACATACTTACCCCATCCAGGCCAATAAAACCGGCTGGATATATGAAATTAGCTCTAGTGGTCAAGTAACCATGTCATATAATGGGGGCATAAGTAGATATGTTTCGCCACAAACAGAAATACAATAATGGTACTTCAAAAAGCGGAACATCCTGTTGTTTTTCATTCGTAAAGTGCTCCACGTCTAGCACTGTTATCCGTTCTCATATTTAATTTAAAACTATGCCGTGGCCTGTCCGCTCTGAGCACTATAATTTATTTATCTGTCTGTTCACTGTTGGGGCCTGTGGTTAGCTGTGCGTTCCCACGCAAATTTCAGCTTTACGCACACCCAAATAAGAACAAAGAATTGTCACTTAAACTTCGGGCAACTTACTTAGGTACTTTACTTTCTCGGAATTGTAAATTAATCTTTGAATTGTTTTGGTTCAGTCATCAAGATACCGTAAAGTTCGTTCATGTTCCTTTTTCAATAAAACATCGGTCAGAGACGGGAATAGAAATCGTTTTGGTATTGGGAATCGTGTTTTGATTTAATTTTACTGTGCAAAATTACTTTGCCTCTCTTTTGTTTGATGTTTCATTTAGTTATATGGACGTTGGACTGACATGGATTGGTTAGAGCTTGCCAAACTGGTAGATTTTATATTTCTGTGAATCAAATCGACATTGATACGAATGTTTGTTTGTTTGTTATAGCGATCCGCAGTATATTCTTTATTCATCTTTTACTCGTATATTCTCTATTCTGTGATTCTTCGAGAATTTCATGGCAGTAGTACAAAAGAACGAAATCCGACAAACCCCATCAAACAATTTGAACATCATTTCCATAGCGCGTTAAAAAGTTAACATCAGGCTCTGTCGTGTGGCAGTCGTCCGCAAATAAAGGCATTGTAACTTTTCGCGGTTAATTCAAAGCGAAGGACGAAGCCGAAACGCGGGGCGTCTCCACACTCCTTTATCCGTTTAATATTATGGAGGCAAACACAGAGGGAAACGACAGCATTTGTCTTCGGAGGAAATATGAGGCGCGAGCTGTGGAATAAAGTAATGCCTCTTTAAATATAAATTACTCTGGAATCGCACCGGGTCTTCCGTCCTTAGACAAATGACCTGCCTAGCTTAGAATACGGACATTAAATCGTATTATGCATGAAATAAAATTACAATTCGCTCAGAAGTAGCAGGTACAGTAACAGTTTCAAATTATGGAGATATGTATTGTTATTATTCAACCCATTGTACAAGCGTGTCATAAGGTAATAATGAACAAGAGTGAAGTCGTATTGAATTGGATGGGCTGAAATTAATATGCTCGGTGGAAATTCACCGTATTTCTTAAGGTACTAGGTGCGGTATAAGCTCATCAAGATAAATGTGGCACTGTACCATCTTAGTCGGTTGTAATAGATGCTATTTTGCAGCAAAAATAATACCTGACAGTAGATTATGGTCCTAAATCGTTTGATACTATCAAGTTTTGTATTAGCAGTTAGCAATTAATAATGCTTTTAAAATTACTCTGCCTATTGCTTTAAAATTAAAATTGGTCTTATGAAAAAATTATATTAAAAAATAGTGGAACCAAAACTACACAAAAATAGTGTATGTATCCGAATATTTGGAAGGTTTATTTTGATGACTTCGTACTGCGGAGGTCAATAGCGGCCCTGGCCCGGGAAAACACTTAGCCGAAATGGGCCGATACGTAATAAAATTAAATTTATTACGAGCGCTTAGTGATAAATTATTGTTATCAGTGCGCTGGAACACGAGGCTTAATGTTTGGTTAGAAATCAACGTTCCCTCAATGTTGCCCTCTATAAAATTAATAACGGTCTGGGTGCAAAATAAATGGCCTAGGTACATTACTACTTAATGTATTTGTGTCTTGCCAGTGCAGCAGTGTCAAGTAAAAAACGGGGAAAATTACTTGCAAGGAATGTATTGTGATCTCCGTAAAGCTGCAAAAAAGTTCTTTATGATTCGAGATTTTTTCTTCAGTTTTTTTGGGGTTTTAGTTGGTCAAAACCACAAAAGATGAAAAACCTAAAGTATTTGCTATATCAATTGCGATAGCATGTAACAGAGCTAGAATACCTATTTACCAAGAAAGCTCTACCTTGGAAGCAGGAAAAACGTTGAATTGATATATTAATAAAAAACAAGATGTCACCGACACAATTCAATGACCATTACCGTATGTATTGTATCTGCGAAGGAAGGAGGCAAGAGTTATAGCATCGTTCCGAACGTGAAATTGCCCCATGCTCTGTGTGAAACGAGTTTTTTCGAATTTATAACAGCTTTATCATATTTATGGACATAATAACAGCGTGAAATAATCCCACAGGATGATTTTTTTCAATTAGTTTGCTATTCTATTACGATTAATTACGCTAATACAAAATCAATACGCGGATGTTTGGGGCTTATGAATTATACTTCGCTTTGTCTACGGCATTAGCAAAATGGGTAGAAATTAATAATGTCTCTTTGTCTTATGTTATCATAGATCTATCAATATCACGAAATCCGGGAAGCTATGAGGTGGAAATTGATATCCATAGAAGCATTATAATATGCATAGCATTAAATTATCAGCGGGTAATAGTATAATAATAGTATTGCTTCAATAGGGGATACACGGATGAGATGATGTAAGTAGTTAAAGTTAAGTAAAACAACAATATATTAACGATATATTTTTTTTCCAACTTAGGACAAGCTTTATGTTACTATTTGTATCCGCTTTGGTTAGGGCTTAGTAATTGTACAAAAAAATTGATCTCGTCTTTATGAACCTAAACCATTTTGAACGAGACGGCTCATTATAACTTCGGAGTTGTAACTAAAGTTGTTAGGTACAACCCACACGATAGAATAAAAGTAAATATTGAACACTATAATCTCTGTTTAACGAAATAATTAATGGAAAAGCAAGGACCTTCATCAACTTTTAAATTGATTCCGTTTGAAGTCAGCATTGATAAGTATCTCCAGAAGAATCTCATCCGTAAATGGATGAGCTGGGTGCGGAAAGTTGTTTGTGTGTTTACCCCAAAAGTTACTCTCACAGGTGCGTCGTGCGTACTCTCGCTCTACTGAGCGGGACTCGGTACCCTGATGAACACTAATTAGATGAATCTTAATTAGTTCATTCTTAAGGTATAGGTTGAATATTTTCTCGAGAATTTCACGTTCATCCGAATGGTATAATTACAAGCGAAATCTCAATTGAAAATGCGTTCACTAGTTATCCAATTTTTGCGAACGCAGGTGAAGTGTCATACAGCCAGAGTAAATACAAATGAGTAGGTCAACTTCATAGGAANAAACGCTCTTAAATAAATAAATAAAATAAATTAATTTCTGATTAAGGTATTCTAAACTCCAACTTCTTGCTAAAGATTTGCTAAAAACTAATTTTAGAAGAAGCTAAATGTAGATAATTTGTTGCAGGTTGACGTTATCCTAGTCCTAGACAATGAAAGACTGTTCATTGAATTGAAGAGAGACATGCCAAAGTTCGTCAAAGTGGTCTACCTGCCGAAAAGTGGAGGTGTAAGTATTATTTTACTAATTTTATCAATTTAGGATGTATGGAAATTCAGGTTATGCAAGAGATTCTTCATGGAAACTAGTTTATTTTCGGTACATTATTTATTATTTTCTTTCCCCTTTAAATGCAATCTGCCATCCATAACCATAATTAGATGATGTCTGGGAGTGGAGGATTTAATTGTTGTTCCATTAAATAGCACCATCTATTGGTGGAAGCTCTTCAGTTTCTTTTATTGAGCTCCAGGCTGACCCATATTTTGAGGCGTTTTGTGTCTGTTTGCAACAGGTATTTAGTCAATGCGTGGACTATAATGCACATCATTTCAGCCATAGGACGTCCACTGCTGAACATAGGCCTCCCCCAATGATTTCCACAAAGGCCGGTTGGTAGCAGCCTGCATCCAGCGCCTTCCCGCTACATTTATGAGGTCGTGGGTCCACCTTGTGGGTGGACCTCCTACGTTAGGCTTTCCTCCACTCCAGAACAGTAATTAATTAATCAATGGACAATAATTAACTAAATTTTTCAGGTCGTGGAACGATCCGATACGCAGCGAGCGGAGAGCCGTGACGCTCGAGTGAGAGAATACTTCTACGGCAAGCGCACGCCCTACTACCCGCATTCCTTCGACGTCAAGTTCAGCGATCTCAAGATATACAAGGTTAGTTGGAGTCGATATTGTTTTTTGATGTGCTCCCTTACTATAGGCCTCATCAATCATCATCATCAACAGCCCTTTACAGTCCACTGCTGGACTATGAGCCTCCTCCACTATAGTGGAGGGTTTTGCCATAATCTCCACGCTTGGCAGGCGGGTTGGAGATCGCAGTTTAAAAGATTGATGTTTTTCAAAGAGCGCTGCTGCCCGTTCTCTGTTTGACTATAGGCCTATTTTATTATAATATTTAGGCTTCTAATAAGGCTTATGCCGCATAAAAATTCTCAAGATCACCCAAAGGGACGTATTTTTTTTTCAAGTCAAAAATTAAGTTTTAAAAGGACTCATTTTGATTAAAAATTCTTCGACTTACTACTCTATTTTACCGGTCATTCTGGAAATCATTGGGAAGGCCTTTGTCCAGCAGTCGTCAGCAGCAGGACGTCATTTGAACGAACTATACTATTTGTCAGTGGTGTGAGTGATGTGTATTGTAACCAGAATTCAGCCACAAAACTTTTCTTCCTACACAAGTATCTGCGTATTAGTATCCAGGATTCTACTATAGTCTGGTCGCCGACCACGTAGAATTTCGTCCAATGCTCGCACACTCACTGCGGGCGCCAGTCGCACAGTCGCGACAGCAATATAATTACGCGCGAGCGATAAAGATGAGTAGCATGGGGTCATTGGACGAAATTCTACGTGCTCGGAGACCGGGCTTTATAAACATGCACTTTTTTCTTTCCGTCTTCATTCATATGCCATGGTAGGGCAAGCTATATTTGGGAGGTGTATAAGTGCCCTAGAAAGGGCCTATAGGGCTGACACTGTGTAGGTTTGTTGTTGACACGAAAAGAAGAAGGGCCTATCATCAACAGCCCTTTACAGTCCACTGCTGGACTATGAGCCTCCTCCACTATAGTGGTGGGTTTTGCCATAATCTCCACGCTTGGCAGGCGGGTTGGAGATCGCAGTTTAAAAGATTGATGTTTTTCAGAGAGCGCTGCTGCCCGTTCTCTGTTTGACTATAGGCCTATTTTATTATAATATTTAGGCTTCTAATAAGGCTTATGCCGCATAAAAATGCTCAAGATCACCCAAAGGGACGGATTTTTTTTTAAGTCAAAAATTAAGTTTTAAAAGGACTCATTTTGATTAAAAATTCTTCGACTTACTACTCTATTTTACCGGTCATTCTGGAAATCATTGGGGAGGCCTTTGTCCAGCAGTCGTCAGCAGCAGGACGTCATTTGAACGAACTATACTATTTGTCAGTGGTGTGAGTGATGTATATTGTAACCAGAATTCAGCCACAAAACTTTTCTTCCTACACAAGTATCTGCGTATTTGTATCCAGGATTCTACTATAGTCTGGTCGCCGACCACGTAGAATTTCGTCCAATGCTCGCACACTCACTGCGGGCGCCAGTCGCACAGTCGCGACAGCAATATAATTACGCGCGAGCGATAAGGATGGGTAGCATGGGGTCATTGGACGAAATTCTACGTGCTCGGAGACCGGGCTTTATAAACATGCACTTTTTTCTTTCCGTCTTCATTAATATACCATGGTAGGGCAAGCTATATTTGGGACGTGTATAAGTGCCCTANGGACGTGGAGAGGGTCATTAATTATACGTATATTTTCTACTTTGCCGAACATTAGCTCGAGAACGGTTTGTCCAAAACATATGAATTTGGTCTTATTCAATGCAGGATTAAGTGCCCTTCAACCGTCATGAAGACCACTTTTTGATAGGGTAAGTCCTTTACGCGGTATAACCGGAAAACCGAAAAAATGCCTCTTTCGGGGGCCCCCACCACTTAAGCACAACTCCGTCGAAGTCGAAAACTTAGGAGAGTCTTAATGGGCAACCAATGAAGCCATTAAAACAATAAAATCTTTTGTAGGAATTATTTCCGATTTAAAAGCTAATTCTACTGGACTATATTCATTGAAGTGCCTACTTACTGTTATTTAATGCATGAAGTACCTAATTCCATTATATCTACTAATCTATACATTTGTCCAACAAACGTGTTTATTATACAAACTATTGGCTACACAGTACAGTCAATCGCATAGCATCCGCGCCGGTGTAATCGACCGTGACTCCCCAACTTATAGCAATGGTACCCCACTTCTGTAGGGTAGTTTTAGGTTATTGGTTGTTTCGGTGCTAACACGACGGTGTAGCTAGTTTAGTTCCCGACAAATTTGGAAGGGGCAGAGTGAAATTGAAGGTGCAAAAGTTGTTTCTGAATTTTCTTTGTTCGAAAATTGTGTGTTGGTGTAGTTTGGAAATTGTGTCAATTGTGTTTAAACCGCTTGATTTACCTATTGTGTAAAAATCGCTAAGCTAAGTGACAGTGTCAATGAGGCCCCCTCGATCTGGTCAGCGTGAAGAGTGTTGACTAAATCCTCCATTTGCCTCCGGAAAATTAGGGTCTAAAATGAAGTGGCAGTGTTGGGGCACGTAGCTTGTAGAACTGATGATCGTTGGGTTACAACAGTTCTCGAGCAGCTCATGACCGGTTATTTATGATTGTTTATTAATCAAAGCGGTCCAGAAGCTTATGAGTTCAATTTCTAAATAAGACAAACAAAGTAGAAATAAACCAACCTCATTAGAATTTGTAATCTACATCATTATTTTTTTGTTTTGTTTTGTATTTAGATACGAGCGTCACTAAGAATCGAACCAAACATCAAGTCAACGTAATAGTTTATTCGATTTTCCACACCGCCACCCCTTATTCAATATGTCCGATCCGCCCTTACGGCTCGTCGATTGTGTCGGAACACGCCAAACGGGAATCAGTTGGGATCAATCACCAGTCGACACTCATTTGTGAACTTGTCTGAGCATGTCTTTCAGCGTTTGCGACCTTGTAGTACTAGTAGCTCTTTCGCCTGAGGCTAAAAGTAATTTTAAGAAGTGTTAAGAATAGGTGTTCCATCATTTTTATATCACGTTACTTCAATTACTCGTATTCTTTGCTCTACCTGGGAGTTGAATCGATACCAAAGAGCACAAGTCCTTAACTATTAGGTTGAGTTGCACCACCTAACTTTAACGGTAACTATAACGATAACCGGTGCTTTTTGTATGGAGTCTGACAGATTTTTGACGTTTCTCAAAATTAAAATAAGATGGTGCAAATCGTCATCATTTAAGCCATAGGACATCCACTGCTGAACATAGGCAGCCTCCAATGACCCAATGATGTCCATGTTGACCGGTTGGTAGCGCCCTGCGTCCAGCGCCTTCCTGCTACCTAACTTTATGATGTCGTCGGTCCACCTTGTGGGTGGACGTCCCACGCTGCGTTTTCCAGTATGCGGCCTCCACTCCAGAACCTTGCTGCCCCATCGGCCGTCAGTTCTGCGTACTATGAATTCTGTTTCAAGTTTTAATTATCTATAATTAGCGTACGAATTCTGTTTTCTTTTAATGATCTATAATTACAGTTTATTTTCCACCCCAAGTACCTACTACGAAGTCTCTCATTTCGCATGACTTAAAAATATTATTCGCAATACAAAACTCACGTCAGTCTGTCTGTTGCCAATGATCTATACCTCCCACTCGAGCAAAATGACAGCGGAGAGCATTCAATCTTTCAACCGCCATAATTATCGTCAGATATCCTCTTCGAGGCGGGACCGAGATGTCAGGATGGCTGGAAATGTCAAAAAGCTATATTAAAAACGTCAAAACTTGATCATATTAATGAGCCTTTTAATTTTGCTCACAAAACTTGGCACTCTGTAATATTCAAATTAAATATATTTTGTTGTATGATTGTGTAAGATAGTCGCGCCTTTTGCATTTTATCTAAAAATATTGGAAGAATAAAAAAATGCAAGACATTCACAGCTGCGTCCTCATTTTGGTCTTTTAGTTACTTACATAATTACAATGATAATATCGGAACTACAGACTCGACACAAGGATTATTGGTAACTAACCGAACTATTCACAATGGTGCAGTGGTAACTCTACGACATAATAATATGTGAAGCAAAAAATTATAAGGAACAATCAAAATCGAACGTAATTTTTTTTTGGATACTACTTAATGAGATTCATAAAGGCTCCTTAAACTCGTATAAGAGCACTTGACCATTTGTAACAAATAATTTATCATATTGTTTTAAACTTTCATGACACATAACAATTATTATTGACGGGATTGCTACCATGTAGGTACCTAAATTTTGAACAGTACTTACTGAAATATTGGAAACTCAAAATTAAGGTTCATGGTAGCAATCCCGTCTATATAATAATTACTAATTTATTAGTCTAAACAAATAAAGATTGTTTGATATTGAAAGCTATTTTGCTGGAATTTATTAATGATACTGTTAAGCCACATCCAGCGATTATACCTCACCCCCAGGTGTGCCCAACCCTCGGGTTCTCTTGAAAAAGTCTCAATAACTCGTCGCGCGGAACGCGAATGACATCATTAGTATATAAGTGGTATATATAGTATAGGAGTGGCGTGAAGAAAAGGCACACTATCTACATGGTGCTGCGCTTCCTATCGGAAGATACAGGATGGGTGGAAAAACGGAGAAATGAATAAAATAATAAGTTCTGAGAAAGCAGCACAAGAAACTCAGTCACTATTGTCAACAGCAGTGTGTTTACCATGAGTTTATATTAACCGATTGAGTCCCATAACGGCATTAATTAATGTCATAACAATTGATTATCTATTGTGTCTAGATTCGCGGAGCTTGAAGGATTAAACTAGCGTCCGCCCGCGACTTCGTATGCTTGGACCCGGTTTTACCCCCTAAGGGTTGAATTTTGGGAAATCCCGTCTTAGTGAGCACCTACGTTCTAAAAGGAACCCCCATGCAATATTTGAGACTTCTAGCACTTGTAGTTTCTGAGATTTCGTGATGAGTGAGTGAGTGAGTGAGTCAGTCAGTCAGTCAGTGACCTTTCGCTTATATAGATATACTCGCTAGCAGCTGCGAAAAA